TACCAGGACTTGAACTAGACCGGGTTCGACGAAAAAAAAGTTACGATTATCGAAACCAAAAAAAAAAACTTGGTTCCGCACATCTCTAGTACCGTCAGTTAATTCCTGGTCGGAGAACAACTATCATTATAACACGGTTAGAAGATAGTCGACTGTTTAAGTACACAGGATACCGAACGGCTTTTGTTCGGGTTGACTTTTAATCCGTATGAAAACAAAATAAAATTCAGAGTAATACATTTCATTAAATATGAACTTTAGTGAATACAACAACAAAGCAACAAAATAAAACTACACTAAAACGATTTGATTTAATAACATTGTCCTTTTATTTATCTAGAATGACAATGACAAATACTATTTTTATTAAACATATTAGAAGAGTACATGAAATTTGTTTGCTTTTTTTTTCCTTTTCCTATAATAGTTCTTATATGGGGTGTATTCTAAAAAACATTTTTAAGTTCAATATCAAATATAAGTGTTGAATTTGATGGTATATCAGGTATTTTTTGACTACCATAAGCTAATGATGGTGGAATTGTTAAACGTCGTTTACCTCCAACATGCATACCTAAAATAAATGAAATAAAAAATAACAACAACAAATAATTCTTTTAAAATTCTTTTGTTTTGTTTTTTTGACCTTTAACACCTTGATCCCAACCACGAATAACTTCACCAGCACCAAGACGAAATCGAAATCTGAAAGAAAAAAAAAAAAAAAAAAAAAACTAAAATTTAAAATTTTTAAATATTTAATAACATACGGTTTTCCTTTATTACATGAATCAAATAGTGCATTATTACTTTTAAGTCGACCGGTATAATAAACAGCAACCTAAAATTAAAAATAAAACAATGAAATGAAAATAATGAATTTAAATTAATAACTTACAGTTTTTCCAAGTTTAGCTTCTGGTCCATTACCAACTCGTAAATCATTAATTTCTAATGAATTTGTTTTTTTTTTCTCATCAACATTTGTACTACTTGTTTGTATTTCATTCAATGATGTACTTGCTGCTGTTTTTTTTGCCTAAATATTTATTAAATCTTCTTTTTCTTTTTTTTTTTAATCTTGTTTATTCTTTGATTACGAACTGATTTTTTAGTTTTTTTTGATTCATCAATATTTGTTGTTGTTGTTGTTATTGGTTCTTGTTTAGTTTTTTTATTTGTTTTTACTTTTTTTTTTTCTGATTCCTAAAATATAATATATGGATGAAATAATTTCATTAATCTTTTATTTGTACTTGTTTATTTGAATGACCATTTTCTTCTGAACGTAAACGTTTTTTTCCTTAAAAAGAAAGTTTTAAAATATAAAAAAATTCAAAAAATAAATATTTACCTTTATTTGATGATGTTGAAATTTTTTGTCGTTCATCATTATCTGAATCAGATGATGTTGTTTCTGAACTTAATTGATCTTCACCTTCAAGATATCCATCTTCATAATCACCTTCTAAATCTTGATCCTAGAAAAAAAATGTTTTTCTTTTTTTGATTTAAATAAATATTCTTTTTATTTAATTTACTTCATCATCACGTAATCGATGACGACGAGCTAAATGAAAATCTTCTGCATTATCATTTTCATCATCATCATCATCTTCGTCATCATCATCATCGTCATCATCATCACTACTTGAATTATTCGCTGCTGCGAAAATATTTTGATTTTTACTAATTGATAAATGATCTTCTTCAGACACTAAAAAAAAAACAAAAAACACTAATTGAATATATTTTGTCTAAATTCATTCTTTACTTTCGTGTAGTTCTGGCTGTAGGACATAACCAGTTAAATGTACTTTATCTAGAAGACAAAAAAAGAATAAAATATTTTGACTATTCATTAAAGTTACAAAGGAATCTTGCCAAGTGATAAATCGCTTTAAATAAAATAATATTATGTTGAAACGTATCTATTTTATTTTCTGCAAAGAACAACCATTTGAAATAGAAAAAAATTTACTATTTCCTAGATAACTTGATATGATCTATAATCCGGACAGATCGAAAAAGAATTTTTGTTCATCTGAAAAATTGATTTTATAGAAAATCCGCTAGCTTTCGATGAGGAAGTGACTGATCAGTTTAAAAACGTTCCTTCGTCTAACGAGAGAGTTATTTGAATTAATACCCTTTGTTTGAGTTCATTTTGTGTTCACAAGAATGTCTTGGTGACATTAGTCAAAAGTTTACAATGGTTCATCTCGATGAGCCTGTGGAACTGAGTTATGAACGGTTTAGTGAATTTTAAACTCAGTTTAAGATTTATAATGACAAACGATTTCATCTATAGATAGATCAAATGGTTCATTGAATATTCTGAAAGTTGCAGCCAAGAAAAATGTTTTTGTATTGAGATAATGAATTTTCAAGTAAATTCGATTTTTGTAATATGTCTGAAGTAGACGATTACTTTTTTAGAAATTCAATATCTCGGTAAAAGAATATTCTTTTCGGCTGAAACTTTCACAATATATTCTACGAACTATTCGACCTGCCTGTAAATGAAATTTCAGATGGAAATTTGGTAAAATAATCATAACTCGATTCGAAAGGCTTATGCGGACGAATGTTTTAGACTTTTTCTAGTCTCATCAAGATGTCTTCCTTTATTGAATATGAGCTCAAACGACGAGTATCAATTCCAGTAATTATCTTGTGAGAGGATTCTTGCCAACAAATCTTTCAACGTCATTTATAATCATTTGCGTTAGTTTTGCGACAAAATGTCGCGCTCTTCCTCTTCCATTCTAAAAACCTATTATGAAGATTAATTTATTATGAAAATATCAGATTTTTCCTTTGTATATTCTATCTCGAGACATAAAAAGAACAACAAAAGTTTGTGCTTTTTCGCATATACCTAATGAGATGAGACTTCTATTAAAAGTAATTTATCACTTTAGAAGATTCTTCTATTTAACTAAAAACATTTACATGGTCCTTTAGCACCGAATGTCAATGTTTGCCCCTCATAAAATTCGATATCCAATGGTTGTTGGAGACATGATGGATAATGTAAATTACATAAAATTAAATCAATTGGTGGTCCTTTATCAGCTGTGCCTGATCGAATTGTTACACGAGTAATTCCATTTGTTGGCGATTCACTTTCTTCTATTGGAGAAACTAAAATAAAAATATAATTTATCAAAAAAATAAACATTCTTTGAATTAGTTTTTTTTACCATCATCAAGTTCAAGTGCAGCCATTGTTAAACGAAATGGATGATCAGTTACGACTTCCGATACTTTATTTGGTCCAACAGTAAGACCTAGAAAACAAAAAGTCATGAATATGTGGATTAAGAAAGATGATTTCTAGAAGTCAAAAGCAACACGTTTTAACGCTCAAAAACTGGGACTTTTCGCCGTTTTCACGCTTTGAAAGTGAAAATTTTAGGCAAAAAATTCGTTTCTTGCGTTTTTTTAATGAGCGTTAATGGCTCACAATCGCGCGGTTCCATTTTGAGCGCTTAAACGCGTTTCTCCAAATATTTGTCTACTTAGGTATCGAACTTATCTATGGATAGCACATAATACATATTAACTGTATCAAAAGAGAGTCATAGTTCGAAGGAATCGGCCTTCAGTTTAGTTTCTTTCATTTAATGATAACATATACAATGGAACTTATTAAGGCCCCACTCCATCAAAAAAGTCACGTTTTCGTCAGAATGATCGAAATTAAGATAAATGCAGGGAAAGATAGCCCGTCATTTGATCTCTCAGAAACGACAAAAATTTTTACTTGGCACCGCGTTTTTTTCCAAAACTTTTTGAAGATTTCCGTCATCTCCTATTCGAAAAATAAGCTGTTTTTGGAAAAAACCGAAAATCTTTTGCGTTTTTTTCTGAGTTGACGATATGTCGAACGCGCAACCCAAATTTCTCAGTCCAGGTTCATGCGATGTATTTAAATTTTTTTTTTTTTTTTTTTTGCTGGAAAGAACATGTAAAGATGCCGGGCATGACGAGGCCAGTTTTTTCAATTAGGCCTTTTTTTTCTCATATATATAGATATTTATATAAATTAACGGCAATTTTTTGAGGGTTTTTTCAGTCATCGAACTTTCGATTCCTTTTTCTGCGCTTGAAAAGTGAATTTGGCCTCGTCATACCCTGCATCTTAACATGCTCTTGCAAGCAAAAAAAATTTAAACATATTGGATGGGTCTGTACTGAGAAATTTGGGATGCCAAATCACTTATTTTTCATCCTTGTTTGGTCGATTCATGATTCCGAGCTAAAAATTTGATCATAGCCTTCCTACTTCAGCCCCAACATATCCTCCAATTTTCAGGCCATATTTGGTCGTTCCTGGGCTGAGATCGATTTTTAAGGAATGGAGAGGCCTTAAAAAATCCCGGTAATTCCCGAAAACTGCTGGCCGTTCGGAGAACAACTATCAATATGCGCCAGTCAGGAAATAGCCAATTGTTTAAATATCAAACTATCGCCGGCGGATTGTCGATATACTGGTAGGGTTTTGCCACTAACGGTGAATACCGTCATTATGGCGCACATTTTACCGAACTGTCTATCGATTTAAATTACATGGGACCTTTACTGACATAAAAAACTATATTGCAGGGATGCACGAACTCTTTTACTAAATAATGTCTCGTATAAAATCATTAATACAGTATTCCTATTATTATATCTCAAGCACTTTTTTTTTTGTCTTACCCCAAATTCCTTCTGAAACTTCTTTGAGTAGAACCATAGTATGAAATAAAATCTGCAATGAACAAGAAAATAATTTGATTTTTTTTTTTGTACATAAAGTATTCATTTTCTTTTGTTTTCAATCAATTTTCATACATATAACAAACTATGAACAATACACAAAAAAAAAAAGAGAAAGAAAAATAAAGTAACAAGAAAATAGTTCAACTACATTTTCTTCTAGAAGAATAACAATATATCTTTATGTATAGAAAGAAACAAAATAGAGAGACCAAAAAGAAAACCATAAACAATCATTCACCTAATTCGATCAATTTTTTTTCGATATAATCATTTAATATAACCATTGTTATGTTAGCTCGATTGATTTTAATATATTGTTTATTTCGTAATTTCATTGGAATTAAATAACCAGGTGCACATTCTTCCATAGATTTAACAATAAAATCTAAGATTTCAATTGCTTGATCTATAAATACAAAAAAAGTATTATAGTCAAAATTTTTCAATAAATCAAATTAACCTTTCTTATATCGAGCTGAATGTAATTCAATAAGTTTATTATGTATTCGATCACATTCTAAAGCAACTTGACGTTCTGTTGTAAATAATTGATCAATAATATTCATTGCTTCTCGCATATGATGAAATATTTCATAATTTTTTGAACGTTGTTCTTCATTTTTAATAATACCTGTATTTTCAAGTGATATTAATTGATTACGTGATTCTTCTTTTAAACGTATTTGTTCAAGTAAACGATTATTTATACCAACAATCTGTTTTGATGGTGTTATTGGTAATGTTTCAAGAATTGTTTGATCAACTTTTGATAAAACTTTTTTAAACTAAATTAATTAATAAAACAAAAAACAAAAAAAATTATTACTTTATAAAAAGATTTTTACTCGTTCATTTTCTGTTGTTTGAACACATCGACGAAGATCAGCAGGTGAAGCAATTTTTTTTATAGGAGTCAATGATGATTCATTTACAGATGGTTTTTCAACAAGAAGATGAGCAAAACGTTCATGAGCTGGAATAAATTTCTTTCTAAACAAGAACAATAAAATTGAAATGGAAATCTGTCATATTATATATTAAAAATTCGATAGCTTAGTCAAGTCTCAATAGGAATCACTATTTGAGATGATGTAAAAAACTTTGAAAATAAATATTGTTGAAGAGTTAATCTCAAAAGAAAAACACTTATGATGTTTACTAGAACTTTTATATTATTTGAAGTCTTTAAAATTATCAAATGTATTTATAAAAACTAGTAGAAAGATTTATGGCAAAGAATTATTTTTAACGAGACGAATAACTTACACAAATCTGAATTGTTACAGAATATATTTCTGTAAAAATGTAATATTCTTCAATAGAGGAAACAAACACAAGAAATTTTATGATAGTTCTTCTGATCTACCAAATCAATAATCATCCTTAGTTAAATTTTCTTTACAAGGGAACCACATCAAGTGACTAATGACTTTTGACTCCGGTCTTACCTATGAATCTTTCGCCTTGATTTATAATCATTTGAATGAGTTCCCCCTCCCCCCCCCCTCCAAAAAAAATACAATGTTTCCTTTCATAATTTATTTTCTAGTTCTACATTTGCACACATAAATTTCTTATGAGGATTAGTTTAGTATGAAAAATATCAGATTTTTCTTTAGTATATTCTATCTCAAGAATAAAAGTTTGTTTTTTTTTGCACAAAAACAATTACTTGAAGATAGATGATACTTTTACAATGAACTAATCCGATTGCAAACTTAATCCGAAAATAGATTTGAAATGTAATGTAAGCAGAACACGGTATTTAGTTCAGTAAAACAAAAAAAAAGATTCACTAGAATAACCATATATATATATATATATATATGTTTAAGAAAATTTATCGACATAAATCTCTTTCGAATTTTTTGTAATATCAATAGGGCCTATCGAATGAGATAAGAGTCATAGGAAAATTGATTTATCAATTTTATAAGATTATCTTATTTGTTTCAATAACAATAGAAAGAAAATGTCATCGTTAATTATCGTAGTACCCGTATAGATAGAAAGAAATAGTTTATACATGTGACAAGTCTCAAGGCAGATCATTATCTCAGGAAAATTAACTTTTTTTGAAGGAGTTTTTTTTTAATAATCCAAAGATTTCTAAATATTAATTAAAAAGATAGAAAAATGCAAGTTGAGAAGTTTGATCTCTTTATACGCCCTCAGCTCCTACCCCTCCCGCCGCTTGTTGAACAAAAGAATGATTAATATCTTACTGATTATTATTGTCATCATTTTCTTTTGATGTTATAACATTTTGTTGTTTAATTTCTTCAATATGAGTTCGAACAACTTTAAGATGTTCACGTAATTCATTCACATCAGCTACTTGAACTAAACGTTGTTTTTGACGTTCAAATGTTTTAAATTTAATCTCATCATTTCTATTTTTTCTTGATAATGGTACTAATAAAAATCCAAAAAGAAAAAAAAAATAATTTTATTAATTTCATCGTTACACATACATTTATCAATTTGATCTAGATCACATCCTTGTAAATAACCATCTGTTGGTTGTGTTGGACCTTAAAATAAAAAATATTATATCGATGATGATGAAAAAAAACAACTTGTTTTTTTTTTTTGTCTTACTAATTCGACGTTTTTTATTTGAATTAATGGATAATGTACAAACATTTTCATTATTTTCATCATCGAATATTAATTTTCGTTTTTGTGATTTAATTGATTCACCATTAGCAAGAATAGTTGATGAACGTCTTGATCGTTTTGGTGTAAAATATTGTGTTAAACAAGCTTGAGCCATTTTTTTATTTTACAACAAAGATCTAATGAACATTCAGAACAATATTATAAATGGATACAAAGAAATTATTAATGATTGATTGAATTCAATCACCAATAAAATTTCGTCGTTAGAAAATAAATATAGGTCAATGACTGATTTGTTAAGTAAAAAAAAAACAAGAAATATTTTGAAAAGAAATTTAAGAAGAGAAGATTTGTTTTTTTTTGACTTAAAATCGAAGGACAAAACAAAAAAAAAGACCAATATTATGGCGTTTGTTATGACAACTTTTATAACCAATCATGAAATTTTTTGGTTATATATATATATAATAGAAATCATGAAAATATTATCATGATTTATACTCACAAATGCATTTATAATGAAACTTATTTTGAAATATTTATATTCATAATATATACAATTTATCATTAATAAAAAATAGTTGTCATATGGAGTTTGTTGCATAGTTGATGAGATGTTAGGAGCCATGTATAAGGTTCAACGTGACCTCCTGCGGCTCATAGTAGATTAGTATTCTGTAGAGGTACAACTTTTCGCAACCGGATTCGTGGATAGCTGACCGAAGCTCAATGTTGATGTCAAACATCATAATTGTGGATATATATATATATATGAATGCTTTTTCCATCATGACAATATATGTTGAACTTCTTAATAATTAATTTTCATTAAAAAAAAATGAATTCTTTTAGTAAAATAATACCGCTTTCCTCTTCCATGACCTGTTCTCAAGTACAATCAATTGCTCAGGTGTTCACGCCTATGTTTTTATTTAAATTAGTGGTTGGAAAAAGTCAAAGTATTTTGAAACGTTGAACGCTCATTAATTACTGGGTCGGGTTCGGGTATGAGATCATATGAAAAGCCTGAACCGACCTGACGAATTTGCTTCCGGACTACACAAGCGAGATGGCTGCAAGACATGAGCATAAATCCGATATCTGCAATTACTTTTTAAATAAAGTCAAACTTTAGACGTATGATTGTTTTCGTGTTTTTTTTTCGAAAATTAATTGTACTAGATTTCTTTTTGATAATATCTTTCGAGTTACAGATGAGTTATCCATTATTGGCTTAATAAGATAAATTTTGTTTTCTTTCTTTTTGTTTCTACATATTCATCGATCGCTTTTATTCATAGAATTAATATATTTGACCTTCTTCAATAATATATATATATATAGTTTGCGTAAGAAGGTACTAACAAACTAAAACCAATTTTCATGATCATGACCAAAACACTTGATCATGCCAAGCACGAGGCTTGGGTGATAGACTCGAACATTTGTTTCTTGTTCCATTAGATTGATAAATTTATGTAATACATCGAAATAGTAGGATTTTCGTAGTGAGTCATATGTAGAAAACTTTCTTGAGGAACTATTGAATTTTTTTTGTATGGATAAATGTTTGATCCTACATGGTTAATGATTTGAACATACCTAAGAAATATTTCCAGTAAAATAAGAGCAAACTTACACTGGAATTGAATTCGTGTTTATTTTTGTGAATACTCTCTTGCTTCATCATTATTCTAATTTTCAATAAAATAGATCAAAAATTTTTCTTTCAAGAGTCGAAAATAAATTTTCTCGGTGTGTTTCTTTAAGTGAACGCTGTTTCATACAAGTTATAAATTTTTTCTAAATTGCGCTAGCATTATACAGTCTCAAATATGAATTAAAAATCAGAAGCAACAGTTCTGTTTTATCTGCATGACACAAAAAGATTTGTTCTATCCCTGTATTCACTATCCTTAACTTTCCGATGAAGATCCTATAAAGAGTTTTAAGCCTATCATATATACCTGTTGTATTCTGAAACAGATTGTGTATATTTTTTGACCGAATTAACATATATTTATACATAGAGACATAAGCCGAAAGGTCAGACGGCGGCGGCGGCTGCTGCTATACTTTATGTTTTACTGCACCGGCGGCGGCGCATTATACTATTATCAAAAATTTTCGTTCGTGGCGGTGATGCAACGGCTGAACTAACTTTTTTACAGCGGCGGCGGCGGCGCAGCTGGATGGCTTACACCTCTAATTAGGCATAAACTATGTATGAAATATTGCATGTGTTTAATAGGTAAATCAGCCTGGTGTATATTTAGTATTGAATTGATTCATTATGTTAAATCAAACGACACCACAAGACTGTCCTGTTTAATGAAAATAGGAAATGAAATTTGTTTCGTTTTTTTTTTGTATACTTTATTCATATTAAGAAAATCTACATATACATGATAAAAATAACCATGCAACTTTTTTCTAAACTGTATTTGAAGGCATATCACATTGAATGTTAACAGGCATATTCAGATTCATTATTTATTCTAAAAATTTTAATTTCAATTTTCATCTAATAGAATTTTTTGAAAAAAATATTTCGATTCTCGTATCGATTATTTTGAAAAACAAAAAAAAATTAGAATACTCATAGAGAACATAAAAAACATAAAGCAAAAATCATTTTTGCCAAAGAGTTGCACAAATACAAATAATAAAACAGTAGTTCTATGAAATTAAAAGGTGAATTTATTCAGAAAAAAGAGTCATACTACATAATAATATTTGCGAAATAGAAGCTTAAATCAATTCAATACATTCAAACAATATAGATATATGATTTACATATCTACTAGAAGTCAGAACAATATTATGAGAGGGATTGCTTTCAAAATTGCACATACAGCGGCTAGTAAAATTATGTCTTCCAGCAATTTTAAATGTTAAAAAGAAACCAAATATTGATTTAAGTATATGAAATCATTCTTGATGAAAATATAAAGAAAAATTGATTTCTAATAGGTGAAGTCTTTAGAAAATCAAAACCCTAGTTTTTCAGCAATTAGGATAAATATTATTTTGCTCAGATAATACGAACTAATAGATTCCGCCTTTGAGGATCATTTTATTTCTTTATATTCTAGCTGAGAACAATTTCTTCTATTACAATAATTATTTGGATTTTTTCTTTTGTTCCTTTTCATTCTCCAGTGGTTAACAAAACAAAAAATAAAACTTCTCGTTTACTATTTTTAACTGGAAGGACAATCTAATGCTTATATTAGAGGCCATCAAGTCAAAAATTTTCAGATCCTGTCCGAGTAACAGAACGATTTTCGACGACAATCTTGACGAGCTTTAATGTATATATTTTCTTTCTTTCTAAACATGTATATAAGAAGCAGCAGATGTTCTCCAAATGTTTCTCCAGCTGTGTATAAATGCTATTTGATACCCTCACCTCTATGTTATACTGCCATCTTTTCTCTAATACTTATCTTAAACAAACATAAAATATAAATGTTTAATAACTGTTAATTGACTCTATATTGATAAAAATTCAATTTTTTTTATTTATAAAATATAAACAGATGTCACTATTGTAAATGCATTAAGAAATGATTCGTATTTATGTTAATGTTTTTTGTTGCCAGACCACGCATAATAATAAGAAAAAAAAAAAGAAGAAGTAAGAAAGAAAGAAACAAATCTCAAATCGATTAATGATCTTTCATTTTGTAAAAACAAAATGCAGTCAAATAATAATGAATGTTATGATATATTAAGTGATGATGAAGATGAAAATGAATCACGTCTTACTTGTTCATTACGTTGGTTAATAAATAAAGCATATCCACATGGTTCAATACCAGATTTTGTACCTAATGAACATTTTTTTCAATATGAAAATAATGAACGTTTTTTATCACCTGATATAGCACTTGTTTTATTATCAGGTGATTTATATATACGTGCATTTCAATATATAACAAATCAACAAGATCAATTAATAACATATAATGATATAATAAATTATTTTTATTCACAAAATATTATTATTGATATAAATTTATTAAAACAAGATGAACCTTTAAATGCTCATGTACATTTAGAATTAATTAATAATCTTATGAAATTATATTTTAATATAATACTTGATCAAAATATACTTTATCAACGTTTTGAAAAACTTCAATTAAAATCTGTTTTAACGTTATTAAATAAATCTAAACAATTAAATACAGAATCATTTTTAATTATATGGATTAATGGTATATGTGAATATATGACAAATCAATTATCACAACGTATACCGCCTGTTATTGATTTACGTCAATCATTAATTGATGGTACATGTTTATATACACTTATATCATTTTATGATGAAAAATATAATATAAAAAAAAATAAAAATGATTTAAATATTTTAAGAAATTATTTAAATCATTATAATGGAAATAAAATGACAAATATATTTCCATTTACAATTAAAAATTTACGTGAAAATAATATACCAGATATAAATCTTCATTGTATGCTTGTTGATATATTTGTTTTATATGAAATCGATGAAAATTTTGATAAAAATAATTTTTCAATTGATTCTAATGAAAATGAAGATGAAGAAAATATTTGTGGAAATAAATCAAATCAAACTTATTCACTTGATGATGATAATGATGATATTAATGAGGATGGTACTAGTGAATTTTTTATTTTAAATGATAATAATGATAATAATAATAATAATAATAATAATGAACAAATTACAACCGGTGGAATTTTACAAACTAGTACAAATCATGATAGACAAATGGTAAAGAAGGAAAAAATTTTTTTATATAGTTTTTGTTTTCTCTTTCGTATATTTGAACAAGATTTAGAATTTCGATTGAAATCTTCTACACGTTTTATTTTTATCTTGAGAAGTTGAATTTTTCTCTTGTATGCATTTTGATAGTCTTTTAAAATCGTTTAAATCTCACACTATCGTTGTTTTTTTAAATATTCGCTTTAATGTGTTAATTAAAGAAATTAAAGCCTATTGATCACTCGAACTTTTCAAATGTTAATAGACGGATTAAAAGAGGCCTTCATGATCATCTTAGTTGGTTCATTAAAAAAAAAAAAAGAATACTCATTATACGATTATGTGAGATTTAAACTCTTCAGAGATCATTAGGAAAAAAATCAATGGATAAT